TTGACAAAATTTTTCTATGTTAAATAGTTTTTGAGTTTTGGGGATTTTTGTTAAAAAAACTAAAAGTGGTCAAACTTACCCCGGGAGTCAAAGTAACCCCCTTTTACGATAATAGGGGATGGTTTTGAGTGTTTTTCCTTGAATAACTTCTTACCATGAAACATTTCATAAACGATTCCTTTGTAGATGATGTAGATGTAGAATAAATGACATTTTCTGTGATTTTTAACTGTTTTCTTTTATTTATATGATATTACCTTATCCGTGGACATGCCATTCAGCATTTAAAGCGACCATGTCCACTGCAAGCTTCATATCAGCAGCCATGTAGCATTTCTTCTGTAGCTATGCTTACAGGACGGCTTGTAATTTTGCACCATTTCAATGGGTCAAGTGAATCCACTAAAGCAAAAAAAGATTGTAAAAACATACCGGAAACAAAAGGAATATTTTAGTGACAACCATCATATTTTTGGAGAAAAAATAATAGTTTAGATTAATTACTTTTCATTCTATGTTGCCGGGTGCACAATTCTATCTATGACATTCTAAGCACAATTTTGTGATGACCGATGATTCATTAATATTTTTGAAGTGCAATTTTTTTTGCTAAGCAAGGTAAATGTAATCAAAATTATTTGTTATTTGATTTTTTTGTTAACTGGAGCCTTTGCTAACCAAGGTTCTAATGTAAATGCTTTTTTAGGGGTGTCCCTTATTACCCCATCATGCAGAAATGGCCACCATTTTTTTGGAATGAGCTACACAAATTCTGTCAATTACATTTTACAAACCAACACTTGTGTGCAAATTTTATGTAAGTAAATTTTTAATATGGCAAATATTTTTTTTTGCTACAGACTTTAGCAGAGGTACCACTTTTCCAAAGTCTCACTTTTCACATTTTTTTTGTGGATTTTTTAGAGGTAGTAAATGTATGATTTCTTAACTTGCTTTATGCTACTTAGATAGGAAAAATGTTGAACTTTACGTCACTATTTATGGTTTAGCAGCTAGTAAAAAATTGGTTTAGCTGCTGTAAAATTAGTTTAGCTGCTACAACATTTTACAAAATGTCAGAGGACTGTCCCTTTTTACCCCACCTGTCCCTTATTACCTGTTTTTATCCATGAATTGTTTAAAATATCCTTAATTAGTTTTTTATTCTTTAATTCATTTTGAGTTTATTTTTTATGTCTGGCTCAAGATCAAAACAAAATTATTGACAAAAACATTAAATTCTATTGAATTATATACCTGCTTTGAAATATTAGTCCTTTAAATTTTTGATGATAGAGCAGGTTAGATTAATGTGTCAACAAGCTAAGGCTGGTGTCAGGATAACTTACTATAATTCTTGCAGTAATTTCTTTAATGTTCAAGATCAAGTTTTACTATCATGGTGCAATAGTAATCAGATTTATGATGCTTAGTAATTATTGAAATATTACTTGTAAAAAAAAATCTGTAGCAAAAAAATGTACCATATTAAAAATTTTACTTTTTACTTACATAAAAGTTGCACTCAGGTGTTGGCTTAAAAATGTTGGCGCTAATGATGGCATTAGTGTATCTCATTCCAGAAAAAAATGGCAGCCACTTCCACACAACAGGGTAGTAATGGACACCCCTAAAAATGCATTTACAGTAGAGCTTTGGTTAGCAAATGCTCCAGTTAACAAAAAATTCAATTAGCAACAAAGAATTTTGATTAGATTTACCCTGCTCAGCAAAAAATTTCACTTGACAAAAAAATGTTCATCATCAGTCATTGCCAAACTGTGTATAGGATGCCATAGCTAGAAATGTTCACCAGGCAACATAGAATGAAAATAAATTAACTTGAGCTATGATTTTTTTTTTCAAAAAATATGATGGTTGTCACTAAATCATTCCTTTGTGTTTCAGGTATGTTTTTTTACACTCTTTTTTGTTATAGTGAATTCACTTAACCCAATTAAAATGGTGCAAAATTACAAACCATCCTGTAAGCTTACAGATACAGAAGAAATGCTACATGGCTGCTGATATGAAGCTTGCAGTTGACAAGGTCATTGTTAATGCTCAATGGCATGTCCATGGATTAGGTAATATCACATCAATAATACAGTAATGTATGGCTTTTATTTTGCGTCTTCCACCTTGCAAATAGCATATGGAATTTTTTCAGAGATGCCATATGATAGCCCTTGTAGATACCTTTAAAATAAGCCCAAACTCGTTTATGAAATGTTTCATGGTAAGAAGTTATTAAGGAAAAACCCTCAAAACCATCCCTTATTACCCCATTTGAAGGTAATAATTCTATTGCTCACTAATTCTTTATAAATTCTCCAGTTATTCTCTGCTCTCTTTGGCAGAGACGTTTGGTCAGAACTACCCCGAGGAGTTTGACGGGACTCTTGACTGTGTCTCGTTGGCTGTGACGTGCGCCTTCAACAGACAAGGCGCTCTGCTGGCCGTCGGCTGCAATGACGGACGCATTGTCATCTGGGACTTCCTTACACGAGGCATTGCCAAGATCATCAGTGCCCATGTCCATCCTGTCTGTTCACTCAGGTTATCATTTACTTTATTTCTAAAGTTTGTTTGAAGTTTTCTACACTTTTTCACATCTCATTTATCCTGTCTGCTCACTCAGGTTGTCATTTACTTTATTTCTAAAGTTTGTTTGAAGTTTTCTACACTTTTTTTCATAACTCTTTTGTTCATACCTCAGCCCTTTAATCATTACTTTTTCTCTCTAAAGCTGTTTCAAAAATATTCAAGTTGTTAAGCAATTATGATGAGTAACAATCATAAAATAGTGTTAAATATTTTTTTAATGCTTATTAAAACTTAAATAGTTAGCTATTTTAAATTTGCCATGAATTTTTGTTATAAAGCCAGGTTTCTGAAAGACACAAATAAATTTTAGGTAAAACACCAATAAAAGAATTGAGCCCTGAAGTGGGCATCCATGATGACTCATTCTTTGTCTATGACCGTTTTAAATTTTTTTTTATTTTATGGCCTATTAAACCTGAGGCTTTCACACCTCCAATACATTACATCTAACTGTCTTGACATTGAAATATTTTTGTTCATATTAGAATATTTGTCAGAATCAGACACTAACCAGTTTGCTGCCAATAAATCTTACAAATTTGTGCTATTCTGGCCTCAATCCTAATGCCTTGCCATCTGAGTGTCAGTTATTATTGTTATTATCAATTATTGTTATTGTTTTGTTATTATTATTATCACAACTCAATTGTTATTATCAATTATTGTTATTGGGACAGGTTGCTGTTGAGTTGTGTATATGATTGCATCTGCCTAGATATGCTCAAACTGAATTATTTCTTTACTGATTAGAGTTGAAACTTGCTATAGTAGTTCATTATGCCTGAGACTGATAGGTATATTTCTTCCTAGTTATTCCTACTCTTTCTTGATTTTGTTCATGTCTCTTATACAAGGTTTAGTACTTATTTATTTAAGCAGATATTCTCCCCTGATGTTTACTGCGTTGCTTTCAATACCACGTATGTTTTTTGTTATTGTTTACCGTAAAATGGGGTGACTTAGACCATATCTCTTACTTTTTTAGACCATATCTCTTACTAAATAATCACATTGTAAATAGGTATATAAAATATATCTCTCTATTGCATTGTTTCTCATGGCACTTCAAGAGACATCAAGACAATTTTTATAAGGCAAGAACTTATTAAGTAATGCATTTTCTTTAATTAAATATTAAAATGGTCCAAGTCGCCCCAATTTATGGTATTGACTATTAGGTTTTCTGCTATTAACTAGAGTTTATATTTCCTAAGTACAGGTTGCTTGTAGCATGAATTTACCACAGGTTTGTCATGCACCTGCCTGACCTGTTTTCCTGTATACCACACAGCCAGCTGACCTGTTTTCCTGTATGCCACACAGCCAGCTGACCTGTTTTCCTGTATGCCACACAGCCAGCTGACCTGTTTTCCTGTATGCCACACAGCCACCTGACCTGTTCTCCTGTATACCACACAGCCACCTGACCTTTTCTCCTGTATACCACACAGCCACCTGACCTGTTCTCCTGTATGCCACACAGCCACCTGACCTGTTCTCCTGTTTGCCACACAGCCAGCTGACCTGTTTTCCTGTATGCCACACAGCCAGCTGACCTGTTCTCCTGTATACCACACAGCTACTTGACCTGTTCTCCTGTATAACACAGCCACCTGACCTGTTCTCCTGTATACCACACAGCCAGCTGACCTGTTCTCCTGTATATGACCTGTATACCACACAGCCACATGACCTGTCCTGTATACCACACAGCTGGTCCCGCAAAGGACACAAGCTGCTGTCCGTGTCCACCGACAACAACGTGTGCATTTGGGACGTGCTGTCGGGTGACTGCGACGTCAAGTATAGGTTCCCGTCACCCATCATGAAGGTAACAAGCCTCTTTAAATGAGAACAATGTGCTTATATAATATACTGGCCTTATATAGCAACGTGCCTGTATAATGTACCTGCCTTATATAGCAACGTGCCTATATAATGTACCTGCCTTATATAACATGCCTATGTAATGTATCTGCCTTATATAGCAACATGCTTATATAATGTACCTGCCTTATATAGCAACATGCTTATATAGTGTACCTGCCTTATATAGCAACATGCTTATATAATATATATTCCTTATATAAAATGCTTATATTATATACCTACCCACCATATATAACATGCTTATATAATGTATCTGCCTTGTATAGCAATATGCTTAGTCTTCCTATTGAGACCCTCTGCCCCCGGATTTAATAACCCCCCACTCGTCCCCCAAGTTCAGTAGCCCCCTCACTTTAACCCCTTCCCCTACCCTCAAGTGCAGTTCCATCCCCCTCTTGAGCCCTCCACTAGTCCCCCAAGTTCAGTAGCCCACCACTTTAACCCCTTCCCCTCCCCCAGGTACAGTTCCACCCCCGCAATGACAAGCTGTTCATCGTGTGCCCCATGCGACACCCAGTGGTGCTGCTTAACAGCGACGGCACCCACCGCCTCCTCCCCCTAGACGACCCTGCCGACGTCACCCTCGTCGCTTCCTTCGACCGCCGCGGCCAACACGTCTATTGTGGTCGGTGCTGGGTGGTGGCGGGCAGTGGTGGGGACTGTTGGGTGGTGGTGGTCAGTGGTGGGGACTGTTGGGTGGTGGTGGTCAGTGGTGGGGACTGTCGGGTGGTGGTGGTCAGTGGTGGGGACTGTCGGGTGGTGGTGGTCAGTGGTGGGGACTGTTGGGTGATGGTAATCAGTGGTGGGGATTGTTGGGTGATGGTGGTTAGTGGTGGGGACTGTTGGGTGATGGTACCGGTAGTCAGTTGTGGGGACTGCCGGGTGGTGGTGGTCAGTGGTGGAGACTGTCGGGTGATGGTGTCCGAGTGGGGACCGTTGTTGATTAGTGGTGTGGACTGTCGGGTGGTGGCAGTGGAGGCTATTGGGTGGTGGTCAATGGTGGAGGGTGGTGGTAAGTGGGAGTGGGTCTGTGTGGGAG